GAATTGAATACAGTTAGGTTGGCCGACTGATAATTTCTTAATTTATTTCAGCAAAAACAGCAGCAAATCCAAACAACAAAAACAACTCTAGTATTCATTCAATATTCAAGTTGTAAACTAAAGAATGATTTACTATGCAAATATATTAATACTGGAGATTAGTTCAGGGTAATATATTAAGGATTTTTTTTTTAAACAAGGGAAACAATAACAGGGATTGGGGCCTTATTTGGCTATACACACAGTAAGACAGTCTAAGCCCCAATGACCTTACAATCTGCACAGACAGAGTTTTTCCATGGACTTTAATGAAGCCAGGATTTCATCTTAAAGGACTTGCCCAAAGTCACACATGAAGTCTGTGTTAGAACTCAAATCTCTTCACGTAGTCCAGTGCATCTAGCCACAAGACTACTCTTCCTCTCCTTCAAAACGTATCACAGACTCAGATTTAATGATGAATAAGACAGCTTTTGTACTTACCTGAATTTTGAGTGCTTGAATTTGAAAATTTAGGGCTGTATTAATGAACCTCATATAAACTCAGAAGAAAACATATAATCAGTCTTGGTTATCTGAACCCTGGTTAATTACAACTCTTGATTATATTTTGGTCAGATATGTGTCTCTGATACCTAACTGAAATTAGGAACACCTGAGCAGGAATGGAGCTGCAGAGGAATCATATCCTTATTTCAGATCTATTGAGCTGAGAGAGCTTAAAAACGGCATCAGTTTATTTTGTATTGAACACATCATGTTCATTGTGCTCTCTGAGTCACCCAGATAACAATTCCCATGAGCTTTCCCAACAGAATCTTTCAGTTCCTGCACCTGGTGTTATTTGTCTAGTGCTGACCTTCCACAATATACCAGTGCACGGAAGACACCACCCTTCTTAAGCAGCTATTTGGCCTTCGTAGCTAAGAAGCTCCATAGATTTTAGGTTCAATCCTGCAAACACTTTGAGCTCCTTCAGCTCCAAGGGAGAGACTGCAATGGACTTCAATGGGAGTTGAATTAGATCTTTAGTAATGAGTATATAGCTGTCATTCTAAGGAGTCCCACTGAAGTTGCTCTGGTACCACCAGTTAGATAAGTAGATATGAATGTGTCAGCTCCTTGGTCTGGATTTAGTGGGTTTGTGCAGCTACTGTAATTTCTTATTTCTATTCAAGTCCATCCCTCAGGACCTACTGCAGTTCTTCTAAAAAGTTACTAGTGCTAGTTTTAAATATCTCTAACAATGGGAATCTAAAATAGTTTATAAATGAAAACACAATATAATGCTATTATAATCTCAGGGTATATCATAACAATATCTTTGGAGTTCCATTCTGGATGTTAGTACTTTATGGTAATTTGTATTAAATCGGTCATTTTTGGACAAAGATCAGAAAGAATGACAGCAGCTTCCTAGGTTGTGTTCTGGATACACGTACTGTCAGTAAAAGGCCTATTGCTTTGTGTAAATCATGAGAGAGTTTTCCTCTTTTTATTTCTTGCATCTGGTATGTACTGTTTGTAGGTTAAAAAGTATAGGACAATTTAGATTATGTAAGTGGATGAGATGAGAAGTAAATGGGTCCCCCTGCTGAATGCTGAAATGAATAAGATTTTTTTGATTACTCTAAAAATCTTACTTTCTCCTCAAACATTTAGGAGACAAGGTAATAGTTAATAACCCTGATTTATTTGACATTAGATTTCTTGTTGACGGATTTAGTGTGACGTGTTGTATTTGTACATACAGTATACATCCTCCCTTTCAGTCCATGATTGCACATTTTTACTAGTACATATACTTTTAATGGCACTCATCCTTGAACGTAGGTTAGATGGGTGCACACTGCCATCTAGGCAGGATTTTGAGAGCAGCACATATTTCTAAAACCACTACCATTTATACCATGGAGAAATACTCCTGTTATCCAAAAATGGAGAAAAAAAATGGAAAACAAGATTTTAATTATTGCAATCCCACACCAGTCATTCACTGAAAACAGAGTTGGAAGGGGTAGGGAGGAGAAAGGATACTGAAACATATGTTAAGAACACATTTTATTTTCTAAAGATGTGTATTTTGGATTATTATTATTCTCTTTTTACTTTCACACAACGAACTTTAAATAAATAAAACCACAGACTAAAACTGTTGGACATGGTTAACTCATAGACTCGAAGGTCAGAAGGGACCATTATGATCGTCTAGTCTCACCTCCTGCACAACACAGGCCACAGAATCTCACCCACCCACTTCTGTAACAAACTCCTGACCTATGTCTGAGCTACTGAAGTCCTCAAATCGTGGTTTAAAGACTTCAAGGTGCAGAAAATCCTCCAGCAAGTGACCCGGGCCCCACACTGCAGAAGGTGGTGAAAAATCCGCAGGGCCTCTGCCAACCTGCCCTGGAGGAAAATTCCTTCCCGACCCCAAATATGGCAATCAGCTATGAGCATATGGGCAAGACTCACCAGCCAGACACCCAGGAAAGAATTATCTGTAGTAACTCAGATCCCACCCTATCTCGTGTCCCATCACGGGCCATTGGGCATATTTACCGCTAATAGTCAAAGATCAATTAATTGCCAAAATTAGGCTATCCCATCATACCATCCCCTCCATAAATTGATTTCATACTTACAATATGCTTTTTCACAAATAAGATTAAATATAAACAGTATTAATACTGTTTGCTAATAAAGTATGCATTACTGTGGTAATGTGTGTGTATTTGAAATCTCTTGATATCTGCTATTAGAACAATTTTAAAGAAAATGCATAGAAAAAATGACATTTTCTATTTACGATAGAAATTTTAGACAGCAAATTTTTATAGTAAGCTTTGGGTTAATAAAAAAAAATCAGAAATAACTTCCTTAGGGAGTAAAACACTATATGAAACAGAGAATGATTCGAGCATGTTTAAGTTTTAGACAAATAATGAATACATCCCATAAACAGCTTTCATAAAAAGACTTGACTGATAGAATGCCATCTTAATGGAGGATTAAAAATGAGTTAGTGGGCTTCATTTTAGGGTTTAGCACGTCAAAATGATTTCTTCCTCATTAATTCCACCAGGGCCATGTGGAACTGTGCAGCAGCGGTGTAAATTAAGAGTGTAATAAACGGCATAAAATCAGATGGTAGGACCTGAATAGATGTCTCATCTTTAGCACCTTCCACCTGAGGATCTCAAAGGCCTTTCAAACATTAATGATTAGCTTCAACTCTGCTGTGAAGCAGGCCTGGCCTGATTTTACAGATGAAGAAAGAGAGATATAGAGAGATTACTGTTCTGATCCTGAGGGGTGCTGAGAGCCCACAATTGCCACTGAGCTTGTAGGTACTCAGCAACTCTGAAAACCAAGCCACTTAGCCACTTATTTAGGTGCAATTTAGGACAATTGCACCTAAAATCCTTTCTATAATTAATGACAGGAAATATGGGTTTATGCACCCCAGTTTGAAAATGTTGGCCTAATAGCTAAGACTCCCTTTGACTTCAATGGGAGCTGGATCAGGGACTAAATGACTTACCCAAGGTCGCCAGGAAGTTGGGAATACAGCCCAGGTCTCTGATATCCAGTGCTATGCCTTCACAGGGCCATCCTTGCTCTTGTGTAATTTTACCTTATTCTCTAAGTCATGCTGGAAATCCCCCATAGCTGTTCAATGTAGAGAAGCACTTTCCCCCATCTGATAATGCATAGTTTTGAAGGCAAAACTTGAGTTTTGTGTATTTGGAACTCCCTGCCCATAAGAAGTTCAATTAACTGGACATTTGCATCAATTAAAAAAAGAATCTCAGATTTTTTAGTATGAGGACTCGGTGAAATTTACCCCCTACCCAGAGGGCCAAAACAATGCCTGTGAACTACTTATGTGGCACTTAAGGCAGGTGGTGCAGGAGGTATCCATTCTGGTTAGAAGCCATGATGCCGTAATAGGCTCTGCAACCCCTTACAAAGCCATCCACTGAGAGAATGCTCATGGCAATGGATACCCATTCTTCCCTTGGCTTGTTTAAGCCCTGCCCACAGCTTGATGAGGACATGAAAGGCATGACCAACAAAAAACTGGGTAAACCTGAATATTGCAAAACCTCTCAAGACGTCCAGAGGGTCTGAATTCTTTTTGCTCTTCGGGAGGGTCAGTGCCCTTCAGGTTATGTAGCAAGGTCTGATTTTGGAGACATTTGGAGAGTGAAGGTAAGCACTGATAGATTATATTGTAAAATCCTTTCTATAATACTGTAGGCCTAACGGAAAATGGCACCTGCACAGCTCCTTCTCCCACCACTCATTTCAGTTTGGAAGAGACCTGATTGCCCTTCTTTTGATGACTTAACATTGTTTATTCACCATCAGCCAGCATCATCCTACAGCTAAAGGTGAAAATAATTGAAACATAAGGACACTAAGAGAGAGAGATTTAGCAATGAAACCCATCAGCTATACAGCCATACAGGACAGTATCAGTAGCTCCTCTCCCACTGCACATTTTAAATTAATTTGGAAGAGAGAGGAGAGGAATCAGTACTTTAGTATCTTCTTATTGGAGACCATTATAGTGATGAAAAATGACAATTAATGACAGTGGTCATGTAATAAAATAATGAAAATAATACCAAGTTCTTATACAGCAGTTTTCATCAGTAGCTCTCAAAATGCTTCACCCTCTTTAATGCATTTATCCTCAACACCCCTATGAAGTAGGGAAGTGCTATTATCACAATTTTTTACAGATAGGGAACTGAGGCACAGAGAACCTAAGGTCAGACAGGAAGTCTGTGGGGAGCAGGGAATTGATCCCACATTTCCCAAGTCCTGCCCTCACCATCTGGCCCCAATGTCAGAAAGCGTGCAACCACTGTCCATTTTGACACACACATCAGTTTTGCTGCTTCAACATTATTTTTGTTTAAAATTTATAGTTACCAAATAAGAATTTCTTTGGACTTTTCCCAAAACAGAAAAAGCAAAGAGAGACCACATGAGTACAATATGTTTTATTGAATAAAATCCCACATAATATTTACACAGTGAAGTCATTTAAAGACGTATCCTCGTGAAGCATTGCAAAGTGAATAAAGTTCATACTACATCTGGAATTTATTTTTTTAATACATCTGAAACTATTTATTACAGCAATCACCTGTCCATCATTGATTTCATAATTAGGGGGAAATTTGAGCTTTTGAAGATTAGCCAAGATGACATTCAGGATGGGTTTACTTCAGAGAAGATAATCTGCTATAGGACTTCCAGAACACACACATCTGAATAAATGCCAAGAATTCTAAAGAAGGCTTCTGTATATTCTTTTTCTTCCTCCTATCTCTGCAAAAGTAGAAGATAAAATAAATTACACACATTTAGGGTGAAAATAATACCCATAGCTTAAATACGTACCTCCCCAAACCACAAACTCGTTCTTTCATTTCATGTATAATGTTACCTGCAGGATATAAAAGATGATTTCCCTTTACTCATATCATGTATAAATTTTGATTAAACTCGCTTGTACCTTATTGGTGGCAGGAGACTTCCTAAACACAACTAACTCAATATCTTTTACTCCAATTTATTCCAGTTATACAGTCCAACAGTAAATGTTGTCCTGGAACATTTACCTTCAAGGCTATTTTTGTTATTTCCTTACACTACGCAAAATAGATAAAATGTTTTAGGTATCTAAACTGTCAGTTAACAATATGAATATATTTATTACATATAGAAAACTACATTAAAAGAGTATTACGATTGCAAAAGGTGAAAGTTAGGAAATGACAGAATTAAGGTTGCCCATGCAACAGTAATTTGGACCATTTATGCATATGTATTATTATTAAGTCTTGGCTGGGTAGTCTACGGCAGGTTAAGTTCTCCTAGGTCCCACTCCAGTGCCTTAAGCAAAAGAGAATGTCCTTCTTCTTCATTTAACTCTTTGCCTTAGTCACGCTATTCTGATAAGGAAGGTGTCTTGTTGAAGAAACAGTATGTAATCATATAATGAAATAAATTTTATTGTAATATTTTGTATGTAATTCCCTAGTTAGGGTTTTTTTTTGTTTTGTTTTGTTTTAAGTAAACTGAAGTTCCATCTGGAACCATGCTGACCCCCCAAGATGGGTCATCCGCAAGGTCTGAACTCAACACATTTTGAACAGCACTACCGATCTCTATCAGCTTAGCTAAAGAAAAAATTGGCAGGAATAACAGGCTGTTATCTGCTATGTGGACCAGACACAAGTGGGGGATGCCAAACACACTTTGCCAGTAGCATATTGGGATGTTGGGAATCAGGACTTCTGGGTTCTATTCCAGGCTCCGGAGGAGAATGTTCTAGTGGTTATAGACAGCACAGCCAAGCACATGAATCTGGTACTTTCACTTTGAAAGGCAGTGTGGTTAAGTGGGTGAGACTTGTTCCTGCCATATTAGACACCTGGGTTTTATTATTAATGTGCCAGAAGTGACCTTGTGTAACCTCTCACATACTTTCTCTGTAAAATGGGGAGGGGGAAGAATGATACTTTCCTTCCTCCTATGACCCATCTGGAGCGCTAGCTGTGCCTTACGTGTAGGAAGCTGAGTGGGACTGGGAGCAAGTAGGAGTTCGGAGGAGCTGGAATATACTCACTGTAGCTAGAATGCAAGGAGTTGTGGGGCCAGAGCATGATCAGTGCAGACGGAATGTCTAGAGATTTTAGCAGCATGTACAAATGGCAATTTTCAGAGGTTTATAATTCACCAAAATCTGGATAGATTTTCATAGGGAGAGCAAAAGGCACCTTACTGGCCCCAGGATTATTGCCTGTCTAAATTTTAGGTCCCTATGCCAAACCAATGAAGCATGAGAACTCTTCAGAGAAATGGTTGGGAAAAAAATTAACATTGTCAAAACTACCAATTTCCCCCCGAACCTCTTTCTCAGAAACAGCTATTTTTGCTGAGATTTAAAAAATCTGCTTGAGGTAGAGAAAGCCAAGGAATTTGAGACTGAATGGCTTAAGTTTGGCAAAATTATAACTGAAAATAGGGAATGGTAGACGGAAAGTGTTAGGTAACTTCCTACATAGGAGTAACTACTAGCACCACCTACACTATCACAATGCACACACAGACATACCCATGTGTAACAGGTGTAGATAAAGTATATCTTTCTCTCATACAGATGAATCTCCATCTGTTGGGGAAAGAGCCTTCAAATGCAGATGTTGGCAAAAGACAGAAAAATATAGTCCTCTAGAATACAAAGTTGTGCATGGCCAGAGGGAGGCCATCTGGAATGGTCTGGTGACATCTCTGCCATCTGTGTTATAACTGCCCCTGATATTGTGTGTGTCACATGAGGGCACTTTCTAATATGTGTTGGCTTTTTTATGAATAGCCACTAACACCACCAGCTATACAGGAAATATATATTCATGTTCATCTCATTCCCTCTTTGCATTTTGATTGCTTTCCTACTACAAAGTGTTATTTGAAACACAGCTGCAGACCTGGAAGCTAACATTTAGCGCTACAGATTTTAACAGTGCCATGTCTAATGTGAGCTCACTAGCAGCCAAGAAACTGTTTACAGGTCTGACTTGGTTATATGGAAACTTTATGCTTCCTATCTTTCATTGATGAGTCAGACAACGTTATATTATCAACTCAGTCTATGAACGGGAAAGCCATGACAAATGTCAACATCGAGAGAAATGACTGTGTACGTGTGATATATTGTCAACACGTGTGCAACCAGTCAGGGGGAAAAAAAAAAGTGGCACAAGGTAGAGGCTACTTTTAGAAATGAACTATTTCAGTCTCCAGTTCAGAGATTTTCACTAGGCTCAGGCACAAAGCTGCAAGTGAATCCGAGTGCTTACATGCAGCCCCACTGGGTGCAGGGTAAACCTGTGCTCAGCCAGCTGCAGGACAAACGCCCTTGTTTTTTCTGGAAGACATTCAGAATTACCTTTTGAGTCAGAAATGCTTAGTCCTGTGAATGGAGAGGGATGGATTTATAGATCATTCCTTCTCTGAATACTGTGTGATAGAGATGTATATTGAAAATATCAATACAAATAACTACAAGTTAGAGAGATACAAAAAATGTACCACAGAGTACTCCCTGCACAGACTCCCCTGATCCCCAACCTGTAACTTGATTAATTGGCACCGTTTTTTCAGGGCGCTTAAAAGTAATGGATACAAGTCTCCAATAGAAGACTTGATCACAGGTGGGAAACACGAAAATTACTTGCTGCACATCTAGTTGTTTTTCACAAGCACAACCAAAGCAAGTGGCTATTTTGGATCCTAAAGCCTTTGCCAGCGCTGCAGCTAACAGGCCAGCCCTACACTCTACTCTGGCAGTATACTCAGAGGGAACAGAAATACGCACCTGTAGATCCCCTCTGTCTTCCCAGCAACAGGATGAGAAAGGGACAACACATGGTCTGATAATCTGCCTTTCTAGAAACATATCCCTCTGCTCTAGTTGGGACCCCATGGACTGTAAGACCATCTTCAGTCTCTTAGAAGGTTGTTATTACATGAGATCGCTGGGCTCCCCGCATATAAATGGCTTTGGGACATACTGACTTCAAAATTCTGGGTCAACACACCACCTCACCAATGAGTATTACACTGGGTGCAAGAGCCAGCAAATGCTACAATTATCCTTTCATTTTCACAGCAATACAGATAAAAAACATTATCCTTCCATCTGAACCCTGTGGAGCAGATGGCTGAACACGGATCTTTTGTAATTACTGCCTCTGACAAGTAGATTAATTTCTAAAAATATTAACTAAACAAGGAAAAACTTGTTACAAGTGGAAATAAAGGCACAGCAATAACAATTCAGTCTTACCTGCACAAGAAACTGTAACATCCATTTATTTATTTTTAAGAAGCCAAAGCAAATATTTACTGTAAAAACTAAATACAGCAATACCCCTAAATAATTATAAGCTGACGGGATGTATGAGCTGTGGATAGGCCAAACCTGGATGCATACCATAATACAGAAATGCTATGGAATTTCACATGACATAGTACAGTGGCTATGTGAGTATGGTAAATGTGGAGTTACTAAGTGGAACCACATTATTTTATGGAGACGGACTCTTTGGATTGAGCAAAACAGACTAGTGATCTGAAAGGGTAAACTTCTGATCACATGTAGGGGAGCTCTTAAAGCTTCCTACTCTGGGGACAAAAGGAAGGAAAGAAAACAAATACCAGGGCAAAAAAGACCTGGAAAAAAAAAAAAACATCTACAAAAAATGAAAGACACTGGCCACTTAAGGCACCTCACACATTCAACAAAGACTTCAGAGCTTAACTGGACACTGCAGAATGGTAGTTCCTCACTTAGTACTTGCCTCCAGCATTAAGACCTGTCCTAATGCTGTCAGCAGTAGGTAGATACATACTATGCATTGGTGAAGCTGTATAACAGCTCGAGACTTTGAGGTAAGAACATTACATTATCCACAGTGTATGTTCTGATACGATATTTGCATGAGACCACAGCCATATACTGGGAATATGAACACAAGAATGGGACCCCAGTATAGGGCATAATCCTGCTGCCACTGAAGTCAATAGTAAAACTCTCACTGACTTCAGTGGGAGCAAGAGGAACTTCACAATGTATAAAGTACCTTTGGATTATGCTATTTTCTAATTTCTTTTTATGTTAGAAAGAGGAGACTCATGAAGTATGGATCCCAGCAACTGCCTCCCATTGTACATCTAACTACAGCTACTATTTTACGCTGTCATTGAAACCCACAATAAGTCAACTACTTGCTTAAAACAAATTTACATCATAACATCAGACAGTAAATACAGAAGATCTATTAAAGTTATTTTCAGCTTCCTTTCAAGACTTTGTTCGCCGATGAACAGACTAACACTATGTATGTTTATGAAGGAAGAGAACAGATTTTTGCTATTATATTGAAGAGAAATTTAAGACTAGGAATGTGTTTTAAACATCCTAATGATTTAGAGACAAGTAATGGAAAGTAATACCGCTTGATAAAGTATTTGCTTGCTTGCAGGATTTTGCAAACAGCTGAAGTCTCACTGGGTGAGTGGGCAAAGTAGCTGGAAAAATTATATAGAAAATGCAATATTTGGTTATTATCTGCAGAATAAACTTTAGATAATAGATATCTTTAGATATCTTTGAACTGAAACATAAGACTAGAGAAAATTCATGTCTTCAGTGCACTGTACGCAGGGTCAATCCTGCAAAGAGCTGAGAACTTTCAGTTCCAATTAAAGTCAACATGAGCTGAAGATGACCCGCACTTCACAGGTCTGAACCCACCATGAGCCATAGGAGGTTTTAAAGTTCAAACAGAATGGGCTTTCATATGTGAAATATTTGAAGCAATATAGATTTTTTCTTTCAATCAATAATTGTTCTTAATCAATCACACTTCTCAGAATGCAAAGTATTTTATATTCTAATGCAGCAAGGTACTCAAACATGTGCTCCACCATGCGCATTGATTTCAGTGGGGCTACTTATGTGTTTAAAGTTAGGCAAGGGGTTAAGTACCTTTCTGAACCATGACCATAAGCAGCAATAGCCAATTCCTGCTTTAAAAATGACTAGTACTTTAACCTTTAAATCTTCCACTTACTCTGGTTAGAATGCTTGCAGGCTTCATCAATAATTCTATCAATAATTAATCATTTTTCGAAGGGCATCATAGCATTTCCATTTGTCTGGGATGTAGAAAGGTTCAAAGATATGAGGGAAAGGAGTGTCGTAGCCACATACTCTTGAAATAGGAGCCTCTAGGTTCAAGAAGCACTCTTCCTGTTAACAAAAACAAGGAAGAACGTTAGTAAGGCCTTTACTTTCAGAAGCCATGCTTCACAAATTAAGTTCTGGTGAGCTATGTCAGACTGACACACCTGAAAACTCAAACATTCTATTTATACCACAGCATAGATACATCCCAGACAACAGAAGTAAAACTTCCCTTTCTTCTTAGCAGTTTATATTAAAATAACAATTGGTATTTATGTTACATTCATTTTCGATGTGCTTTATGTTAAACTGCATGCAGATTATATTTAGCACATCCATTATACATCCAAACAGAGACACTGCCAGGAAACAACATTTCAGGAACAAAGAAATAAAAGTTTATACTTCCATGCCACATTGAAACATATAAGGAAAATCAAATAATCTAAAAGCCAGTATTATTTGTTATATACGTGACTGTCATATACAAAGTGATTTAGATTTCTAGTGTATTAGGGACTTAACCCAAGAAGTGCTTAGCAGTTGCATCTGGCACTGAAATCCATGAACTTGCATGTGCTTAGCACATTCTCAAAGTCAAAAGCACGGTCTCTAAACAAAAATTATTGTTGTTCTGAGGGTCTGTCTACATAGCAACTAGACACCCATGACTGGCCTGTGCCAGCCGACTCAGGCATGTGGGGCTCAGGCTGCAGGGCTGTTTCATTGCTGTGTAGATTTCCAGGCTTGGGCTGTGTAGGTTCCACTGGACCGATATAATCAATTCCTGTCAAACACCCATGTTTCTCAATAGTGGGATGCTAGACATTTTCTCAGATTGCTGGATTGTTTTGCACACAAGGATACTCTTTAACCCAAGAGTGAGCTATCTGCCTAGGTTTGTAAAAGGTCACCCCTCACCATGTATGATGGCATGCATAGGAGATAACTGTAACACAAGTGAATTGCAGAAATGTCCTGTTTCTCCATATTACTCACATGCAATTGTATGGTAGCATCTTCTTTCAAAGCAGCTGGAAATAGAAAATGCAGGAGGAAAAGGATTTCCCTACCCCTTCTGACCTCCCCATTACTCCCCCTAGTGGTCAATTAGTTAGCTGTGTTGCCAATTTACTTGTTTTCCAACTAGATCTAATTGTTCTAAAAAAATTCTAGTTGGAAAAGAATTGCATTTAGTTGTTGGCTGGAAATTTGAATTGAAATTGAAACATTAATACACACTTTAAAAGCATATATATGATAAAACACTTTCACCCGAAAAATCATAATAGGTTTGAAAAGTATGAACAAAGACTAGCTTCCTCACACAGCTATGTTTGTTGTGACAATGTTGGCGTATTCATTTTGGTGATGTGGCCAACCTCATAATTTCAAATTGTGATTGATAAACAAGAAGCAATCATCATAAAATCAAATGCTGATGTTTACTGGTGTTTTATGATGTTTAAAATGTGGGGTCAAGAGTTAGTGCCAAATTGCCTTGCCGATGAAAATGTATGAAACTTGCTTACAGCAATCAGGCAGCCACAATAAACTTAACCCCTCTTTTTTTACTGAAATTTCATGAAAGTTTATGTATACATAGAAGGAAGTAATACAATTTCTCATTCTTGGAACAACCAGATTAGTATTTTTAGTGACTTTGCTTCAGAATGCTAGATTTGTGACTGGGAAAATTTATATAAATATACATTTCCTAGTAGGCTAAGATTTTTAAAATGCATAATATTTTCCAAGGTCATTATCTCACATCGTTGCTATCTCGAGGGGTCGTTATCTCGGGGAGTTTCTGTACTAAACCTTTTAATTATTATGATTTTTCCAAAAGTCAATTTAAATATGTTTTTTAAAAAAATAATATTTTTTGTTTCAGAAATCTAAAATTTATGTTTTTCCAGTTTTTACTACGGTGCTATACAGCTCATCTTCACCCTCACGGTCTCACTCCTTGGCCCTCATTTCCCTGTAAATTTGAATATCCCCTCTAACTTCAGTTCCTGGGGAAAACACTGGGAATAGGTAATGCAATCCAACCCAGTGTCATTGCATTTCCTAGTGAAAAGGTCAACCTATGAACTGTCCATGTGTGGATATATGCTTACTTGGCAATTATCAAAGCTTTTTCTAGGATCTGCTTTCAGGTTGGCTTTCTTGTTGACCTTTCTGTTGGTACAGAGCTTTGGGATAGCAGTAGGGAAAAGAAAATCACTATTTAAAGCTTGCAGAGTTTAGAGTCTTAAATAGCAATATTGAGAGTGGTAAATTAACTTCAGATTGGGACATACCCCTCCCCTATACCAGGAAATCACATTGCTTTCCATATTTAATATGCGTTTGTCTTAACTGTCAACTAGAAGCACGAACATATGAATATCAGTAACCCACTATGTGATTCATTTAAGTAACACCACTTCTTGCTACTTGGTATTATTTTCATTATAATGTGAGTTTAAGCATTTTAAGGTTGGATTTTCTTTATAAAGTGAGATTAATGTTGTGAGAAGTGCTAGATGGAAAGTAACAGAGACCAAAAATCCTTTATTTTAACCCCACAGACCAGCTACAGCAAGCTTCCAACGCTGCTTCACCCCTGACTGGTGGAAAATCTTCATGGGGGAGAGGGCAGTGTACTCTCCCTATGCAGTCAGTCCTTGGCCCTCGTACTGTGACTGCTGATAACAGTGCTTATTTGGGACATAGTAATGCCTGTTCAAAAACTATCTGTACAGGGGTGGGGTGGAGTTGCAGCACAACAGCAGGAGCTCCCAGATGCACAGGGCGAGTAGGCCAGCTGCACTCCTTTCCACAGCCATCTAGCTCTCTATGCCGTGACCCTACTTCCCCTTTGGAATACCTAGCTGCCACAGGATCACGGACTGGGGGAGTCCACGCTCTCATAGCACTGCAAGCCTGAAACGGTGGCCAGTCCCACCCCAGAAGTTTAGGGTTGAGTTTCATTGGAGCCTATTCCACACCTTGTGCATCTGTACAGAGGCCTTTTAAGCTCTGGCCTTCAGTTTCAATTTTACTGGAGGCTACTGCAATGTTGCAAACACTTGCCCACCAGGAGCTGGACTAAGGCCACCATCTCATCTCACTTACGCCATTCACCTGACAGCCATCAAAGAACAATGAATTTTTAGTCACTAGCAGGTGGAGTTCCCATACTTCGCTGAATAGGTTCCACAAACACTGTATTCAGGGGCACCACCTGGGGTCTTGAGCAGGGAGGGTGAAGTATAAAAAAAATTTACTGAGTGTTACCCAAAATTTTCCCCGAATAGTATCGGTTTTGCAAGCTAACTAAAACAGTGATTCTTCAGCCTACGAAGTAGAATCATAGAATATCAGGGTTGGAAGGGACCCCAGAAGGTCATTTAGTCCAACCCCCTGCTCGAAGCAGGACCAATTCCCAGTTAAATCATCCCAGCCAGGGCTTTCTCAAGCCTGACCTTAAAAACCTCTAAGGAAGGAGATTCTACCACCTCCCTAGGTAACGCATTCCAGTGTTTCACCACCCTCTTAGTGAAAAAGTTTTTCCTAATATCCAACCTAAACCTCCCCCACTGCAACTTGAGACCATTACTCCTCGTTCTGTCATCTGCTACCATTGAGAACAGTCTAGAGCCATCCTCTTTGGAACCCCCTTTCAGGTAGTTGAAAGCAGCTATCAAATCCCCCCTCATTCTTCTCTTCTGCAGGCTAAACAATCCCAGCTCCCTCAGCCTCTCCTCATAACTCATGTGTTCCAGACCCCTAATCATTTTTGTTGCCCTTCGCTGGACTCTCTCCAATTTTTCCACATCCTTCTTGAAGTGTGGGGCCCAAAACTGGACACAGTACTCCAGATGAGGTCTCACCAATGTCGAATAGAGGGGAACGATCACGTCCCTCGATCTGCTCGCTATGCCCCTACTTATACATCCCAAAATGCCATTGGCCTTCTTGGCAACAAGGGCACACTGCTGACTCATATCCAGCTTCTCGTCCACTGTCACCCCTAGGTCCTTTTCCGCAGAACTGCTGCCTAGCCATTCGGTCCCTAGTCTGTAGCGGTGCATTGGGTTCTTCCGTCCTAAGTGCAGGACCCTGCACTTATCCTTATTGAACCTCATCAGATTTCTTTTGGCCCAATCCTCCAATTTGTCTAGGTCCTTCTGTATCCTATCCCTCCCCTCCAGCGTATCTACCACTCCTCCCAGTTTAGTATCATCCGCAAATTTGCTGAGAGTGCAATCCACACCATCCTCCAGATCATTTATGAAGATATTGAACAAAACCGGCCCCAGGACCGACCCTTGGGGCACTCCACTTGATACCGGCTGACAACTAGACATGGAGCCATTGATCACTACCCGTTGAGCCCGACAATCTAGCCAGCTTTCTACCCACCTTATAGTGCATTCATCCAGCCCATACTTCCTTAACTTGCTGACAAGAATACTGTGGGAGACCGTGTCAAAAGCTTTGCTAAAGTCAAGAAACAATACATCCACTGCTTTCCCTTCATCCACAGAACCAGTAATCTCATCATAAAAGGCGATTAGATTAGTCAGGCATGACCTTCCCTTGGTGAATCCATGCTGGCTGTTCCTGATCACTTTCCTCTCATGCAAGTGCTTCAGAATTGATTCTTTGAGGACCTGCTCCATGATTTTTCCAGGGACTGAGGTGAGGCTGACTGGCCTGTAGTTCCCAGGATCCTCCTTCTTCCCTTTTTTAAAGATTGGCACTACATTAGCCTTTTTCCAGTCATCCGGGACTTCCCCTGTTCGCCACGAGTTTTCAAAGATAATGGCCAATGGCTCTGCAATCACAGCCGCCAATTCCTTCAGCACTCTTGGATGCAACTCGTCCGGCCCCATGGACTTGTGCATGTCCAGCTTTTCTAAATAGTCCCTAACCACCTCTATCTCCACAGAGGGCTGGCCATCTCTTCCCCATTTTGCGATGCCCAGCGCAGCAGTCTGGGAGCTGACCTTGTGACAAAACAATCAAGTAATTACTTTAAATGGTGTGGGGGTCTTCTGTTCTGTGGGGTGGGT